AGTTGTATACAAACTAGGTTAGTAATATACCCAAACCAAACCTATACCTAGCACGTGCTACCCTACCTATACCTATACCCAGTCACGTGCTACCCTACCCTACCTATGGTCCGTGCAACCCTACCCTACCTATACCTATGGTCCGTGCGACCCTCCCCTACCTATACCTACGTCCGTGCGACCTATACCCTACTTATACCCTATCCTAGGTACATGGTACCCATCCGCCAGTCTAGACAGAGGATACTACAGGAAGATCCTGAGATAATTAGCGCGTGGTTTAAGCTAGTGGAGGATACTTAAGTCAAGTATAGCGTTTACAACAATAACATGCACAACTTTAATAAAACTAGGTTCTAGATAGGTGTCGCTTTGTCTTTAAAGGTTGTAACAGGCTTAGAGAGACGTGCGCGGCCAGAGCTTGTTCAGCCAGGTGATCGCAAGTGGGTTACCGTTATCTAGAGCATCTGCGCCGCTGGGTATGCAACCCCGCCTTTTATTATCTACAAAGGACGCGTCTACATCTCTGCCTAGTATAAGGAGACAGATATACCCTACAATTAGAAGCTCTTAGTCTCTAAGAATAGTTAGACAAACAACACACTTAGCCTTAAGTAGTTAAAGCACTTTAACACGCATATAAAGACGCGTTAGGTAGGAGTGTATAGGCTACTTTTCTTAGACAGCTATAAGAGCTATCTTAACTAGGAGTTTAAGGACTATTACCTAGAGAACTAAATCCTTACTCTCTATATGCCACCTTACTTGTTGCACATCCTCTAGCTACTTAACGTAGTCTATTTCTTGCTATTAAAGCGCAAGTACTCCTAATATGTTTAAGACTTAGCACGCTAACACGTCTTCCACATTAATAAGGAAGGCTTCCTACTAGCCTTTAGGGATGCGTTCCTTAATATATTTACAAAGGTTAACTACTAAAAGGCCTTTAAGGTATTAGGGCTTGTTCCTACTAATACGCAGGTAGTGTTAGATCGCCTTAAAGTGCGGCTGCATACCCTACTAGCAGTACCTCTACCTAAAACGCTGTAGCAATCTAAGACACTAAGCAATACACATAAGTTTAGGTCTTAATCTAAGCTTGTAAGTAACTCCTTCTAATAATTACTAAGTATAGTGCAAGAGGGGTTCTTAAAGCTTGTAAAAGGGGCTAAAGAGATACTGCACAAAAACGTCCTTATTAAGGCCCACGTGCAAGAGCTTAAAGAGTAATTAGCAGTAATAACTAAGAGAAAATCGCGTAAGAGAAAGCAGATTCAGCATAGTGGCACACTTAAGTATGGCCTAGCAGCATCGCGGGTAGCTGCTGAGGAGTGTGTAGCAGCTCAGCTATCTAAGAAGACTTAGGGTGGAGGTGGTCAACTAGGAGCTTAGTCAACTGTTCAGCGCTGTAGGAACTGCAGCAAAACTAGACACAACGCACAAACGTGCTAGGAGGGTGCAGAAATATCTTCTAAATCTAATACAAGCACACAGTATGCTAGGTCACTGTTTAATAGCAAGTAGTTGTAGTTGCAGTAACTTGTGTTAGTCGTGCTAAGAGAAAATGGCCAGTTTGGTGATATGGCCGGCTCGGTGATAATCTACGTTATTAACAGTATAGAAACTTTAAACACATACCTTTCTAGCCTTGTTCAGTGTTTGCTAATGTCACAACAATTTCAAAGTTGTTGCTTTGGCGGATACTATTCGCAAAGTCGTTGATAGCAGCTTCAAGCTCATGTTGGCTGCCAATCTTGTCGCTATTGAAGCTCAGCAATAGGTCCGCCTCGTTGATGATAGCTGCAGCGGCGGTTGCAGCACGCAGCTGCAGGTAATCTACATCCATTGACGTCATCATCTTAGTTCTGTTGCTGAAGGCGTCAGGGCGGAGGGCTTTTTTTATAGTGACGCGTTTGATGGGCGTCCTGTTGGCGTTGATGAATGAAATGTTGCTCAAGCGGATGTTTGGGATAGAGGGCATGCCATTGCTCACGTCAAGATATCGCATCTGACTTGCCGCAACGCTCACAGCTGAGCGGGTGGGCAAGGTTGCGGTACTGTGACTGAAGAAGAGCTCGTCGTTTGTGGGTTCCTGGTTAGCACGCAGGTTAATGCTGTATGCCATGCCATTGATCTTGATTTCCTCTCGAGCATCCTGGGCAATACGCAGCATCGCCTCCTTCTTGGCTGCCTCTGGCACAATATTGTTGCCTTCGCCAAACAGCTCGTCTGTGTTCTATAAAGAATTCTGCACTAGCCATCTTATTAGGGCAGACTGCGTGGTCTTCTAGCTAGGGCTGTTACTGCTACTCTGTGCGCCTTGTAGGAGCTCATCTTTACTAGCAACAAATTCAACAGCTTCTTTAATAACAGCCTTAAGCTTTTCTTTACTAACGCAGTAGCATTGCAGTATGTGTTTAGTGTACATCTGCTGGTAGCCTTAACTCTTAGCGGTGCCTGTGCAGAGCGCGAGATAACCCTCTGTTGTAGTCAGCGTATCTAGAAAATCTAGATGCTTAGGTGGTGCCTCTATAGTGAGCGAGCAATGTTATTGCGTTTAGTAGTTAGAAAACAGTAGCTGTTATTAAGTGGGCGATGTTTAGGCTTGTCAGATGCTCGTATTGTGAGCCAGAGTATGTGCTTAACGAGATCTTAGGTGGTATGATGATATATTGATGATTGTGGCGATGGTGTTTCTGCCGTCGCGTCGTGCTGGTTGCTACAGGATTGAAGTGGGGGGGGAATTAGCGCTGTTCGCGGCCGCCGGTGTGCGGGCCAATCAGGAGTTGCCAGGTCTCGCTTAATCGACCTGGCAACTGCTGATTGGCTGCACGACAGGTCCCTGCTTAATTGCGCAGATCTAACCTCTCGCTGCTTACTCTTATCTAACACACCCCCTTTAGCTTAGAAACTCTTTAAGCTAACTATTTATGCGTGTGTAAGGTCCTTAATTTATTCTTAAATCCTGTCTAGAGGCCTGCTGTTTAGCACTTCTGTTAACTCCCTGTTCACTAGACTAAGTTGCTAGAGGAAACCTTCCTACTTATTTACTAGGAGTACCTTTGTAAGTCTGTCTGCTATTATGCTTGCAGACTAGACGTGTTCTATAATAATCTTTCTAGCGGCCACCTCCTGTTAGAGCTAGTAGTTGTGGATATCTACATGCTAAAGTTTAGTATGTAGTTGTAATACTTCCTTAGTAACTAGTTGAATTGTTTATTTATTATTGTATTGTATTATAATAGTGTGTATACCTATATTAACGTGTAGTTTACGCAAGAGCCTTAAGATAAAAAGTGCTTCTTTTGCAACCTAGGTAAGAGTAAGAAGCTTAGCCTTAGTTGTTAATGTTGTTACTGTGTCCTGCTTATTTACTTTCTATGTAATGAGGCTGCTAAAGAGTTTAATTGCGTAGCCTTAGGAGCTCTTTCTGTCTATAGTATTGTCAGCAAAGGACGCGTCACTTGCTACCTAGAGGCTGATGCCTCCTCTAAGCTGCAGTGATCGCTGTTTAGTGTTGAGTAAATATAGAAGGACCCAGTCCGCAGCATCTTAGTGGCTGATGCCTGGATTGGTGAGGAACCTGGCAAGCCTTGATGTGGCGAACGCAATGTTAGGTCGCGTGGTGACCGCAGCGAACAGCAGTAATCCAATTTTGCGTTAATACTTGTTAATTTCTGCTAGCGCTGCTAGTCCACTCCTTGGCTGTAGTTTAGTTGTTGCTATTAGAGTGTTATGTCATATAGTTGTGTTCTTAGCAAGGCAACTAATTTTGTCTGAGTACACTGCCTAAGATAGGTAGATTTTCTTGCTTGCTTAGTCTTGTATAATCTCTATACTAAGGAACCACTATAGGTCGTGCCCTCCTGTGTAGGTGTACTTGCTCTGTACGTGGCTAATTGTCTATATTACCTCTTGCTCTTTTAATTTATTATACACAAGGATAATATTATTAATATAAAAGAAGATAATAATGCCGCCCTTAGTTAGACAGCAGGGTTTGTAAGGCACAGTCTAGAAACCTAGTGCTTTTAGTGTTGCAGTAAAGTTCTTCTGCCAGAGGAGGGGAGAGATGCATAGGCTGTAAAGTGCCTTATTTACTTGCAGTATCGTGCTGGGCTTCTAATAGCCTCGTGGCATCCTCATGTAGACCTCTCTGTCCATTGTAGCATGAACAAACGCGTTAGTAACGTTGTATTGTTTAAGCTCCATGTTATAGTGAGCTGCCATAGCCATTATTGTTTAAAAGGATTAGCTAGCAAGCATAGCTGCGTAGGTGTCTTATAATGTAATATTGCTTTGTTAATTGCCTCTAACTACTAGTTGCGCCTTACACTTTAGTAGTTAATAATGTCTATTAAGTTTATAGGTATATACCTACATGCAGTTAAGAATCTGTTGTCCTGTTAGTCTAATTTTCTAAAGTAGTACTTCTAACTATAATTTTATTTCTTAGTAGCTTGCAAGGTACTCTTGCTTAGCTTCTTAAAAGAGTTTACCTATAGGGTAATCCTTAAGCTTAGTTTAGAATATAGGCAGAGGTAGAAGTTAACTTTAATAGGGCTTTAAGCCTTTAGCAAGCATTCTTATTATCTTAGCCTTGTCTATAACTTCTCCTCTGTATGTTCTAACACGTCTAGCTTAGGTTCCTGCAAGGAATGATGCTGCCTACAGGATAGTAGTTAAGGACGCTTGTTGCGTTAGAGTTGTTTAATTACTAGCCATAATGCCTGCAAGTAGTGCTGCAGGTGGTGGTGTTGATAGAGGGGTAGGATAGCTATCCTGTATCTTCTGTCCGTGATAGTAGCCTAGCAGGTCTGCTTTGTCTTGTGGTAATGGCTCTGCTAGGGCTTTATCCTTATAAAAGGAATCTGTTTCTAGTTGCTAGGTAGGTGTTAGTAGCTTAATAGATTGCATATATGTTGCTATTTCTTTAAGTGTATTATGCATAAGGTTCTCTATAAGGTCCTTAATTCTCCTATTAAATACTATGTCTTTGTTAAATATAATATCTTAAGTGCTTATTACCTTACTAAGTAATAGTATCTAGATTTAATAGATATTTAATAACTAGTAGCCTACTAGATAGCTAATCTAGGCCTTTAGGTCTAGTTATTAAAGACGTAATTTACCTCTATATGTGTTATCTATTAACGTGAGTGCATAGCGAGTGCGCCGGATAAGCGAGCGCGCCACCCCAACAAGCTATTAGGCCTTCTACACGCAATTGCTCAACACTACAACGTTATACTATAGGCAACAGTATATATTCTTAATCGCTAACATCTACTACATCTTTTTTACACGTGCGCGAGTTGTGCCCTGTCTCACCACAGTGCTTGCAGTGCCTTTTGCCCTGCTTGCCTGCACCTGTTCGGGCCCTACTCTCACGCGTTTCCCCCTCTACCTGCGCCCCAACGTCGCATTGGGCTATCAAATCCTCTACCTGTTCCTTTGAAAGGTCTCCACCCTTCTAGATCTGCTTTCTTTTGCGTGATTTGCGCTCAGAAGCAGCCTTGTTTGACGCTTCAAGCTGCAGCACTTGGGCTGCCAATAACGTCTGCCCATGCAGTAGCATTGCAGTGCCTCTCTGCAGCTGATCAACGATCTCCACCATCGGAGTTGGTGATGATCCTTGGTGCTTTTGAATACAATCGCGAAGCAGCGTTGATTAAGACTCTATCTCATTGGCGTTGGTGGGTGTCTTGGGGTTCCATTGGGTCCCCCCTGGTAGAGGCGGTGTTGGCGTCCGAAGCTTGACATCAAGCTTTAATAGCACCACCAATAGATTATTAGGCACTAAGCCAGTTGCCTTGAAGCTTGATGTGATGTTTGCCTTTAAGAACGCCTTCTCAAAAACCTTTGCAAACGTTGCAATGAAGGCCTTCTTGTCAATTTGGCCAATGTGGTCTGTTGCCAAGACTCTGATCTCTTTACCATACTCCCGCTTCAAGGGGGCAAAACAGCCCACATCAAGCGGCTGCAGGATGTGCGATGAGTGTGGGGGCATACATAGGGTAATTATCTTGTTCTCCTCGCAAAGATTCTGGAAGGCAAGCGACTTGTGGCTTTCGTGGCCGTCGATTATCAGCAGCACATGGCTACCCACCCTCCGGCCCTTGATCTGCTCAATGAAGTGCCTTAACCAGGCTACACCAATATTGTTTGTAGTCCAGCCGTTGTCGCTGACCCTAATGCGCCATTGTGGCCTCAAATTAGGGTACCAGGACGCGTCGTGGTTCTTTGCTTTGAAGATAAGGTAGGGCGCAATTGCCCAGCCTATCGCGTTAATTGCAGCGATAAAAGTCACCTACTCACAGTCCCCCTGTTGCAACCTAATAGGCTCAGTACGTCTCTCTGATGCAGTGACTACTTTAACACAGTTTCTAATACCTATAGTAAAGCTAGTCTTATTAAAGTTGTAGGTATCTTTATCTAGGATACTGTACTTGGCCTTGACATTGTGTACAAGGTCAAACTAAGGCCTAATAACCTCTAGATTACTGCACAAGACTCTCTGGCGATCCCTCTGTTGAGTTATATGCGATTTAAGTCCAGGTTCGCGTTTGACAAAGTTTAAAGCCCATCATAGGCTAACAGGCTTTGCGCCGCGTGCAGCGCGCAGTTAATTAGCCATATCTTCAACACAATGAAGCGTTGGGGCAAATCCTTGGGAATCTAGCTTCCTAATATACTACACAAGCGTCCTCTCTTCTGTCTTTTGCAGGTTTGCTAATTTAGGGTAGGTATCACGTGTTGACTGTGTCCCAGCGCGTTAATAGTTAATTAACCTTTAGGATACGTTGTAGACAACAGCTGCGCGTTGCACACTTAATTTTTGCGGCTCTTTAATTGCTTGAAGGGCAAGCTTGATCCTCTCCTCTTTTAAAAGCAGTTCGAAATTGGGTTGTTGAGACATTGAGGTTTGAGGTGGTAGAGCCCCAATGGCTTGTTGGGGTGGCGCGCTCGCTTATCCGGCGCACTCGCTATGCACTCACGTTATAGCAAATGCTTTGCACCTATATACTCTTAGGTGCGCAAGGTTAGGTTTTTGCAGTAATATTACTATTCTATTACTAAAGGTAACTTGCGTAAAGAATATTTTGTATAGTGTTTTCTAATAGTTTGCGTAGTTTGGCGTTTAATTGTAGAGGTATACTGCTGCCCTTGTGA